GCTTGCCAGGCAGGTGTTTATTCTACTGAGCTATCTCCCCGGCCCCCAAAATAATTTTTACCAGGAGTAGTGGCATGTGTCTGTGGACCCAGCACTCAAGAAGCTGTAAAAAAAAAAAAAAAAAAAAAAAGCTGAAACATGAAGATCACTTGAGATCAGTTTAAGGTCAGTGTGGGCAGCATGGTGACAATTCACTTCAAATAATAATGATAGTACTTGGCATGTGCAATGCGTTCTCATGTGGTTCATGCTCCCAAGGTACAACAAGCCACAGTGGGGGGCTAGAATGCAGTTTAGTGATGGAATGCTTGCCTAACATGCCCAAGGTTATGGCCCATGCCCATGGCCTTGGGTTCCTACTCCAGCAAAATACACACACACACACACACACACACACACACACACACACACACAAATAGAACCCTCCTGTCCACCCTCAATACCCAGGCTCTGCTTAGAAGCAACTGATGTGCTAATAGTGGAGAACAACTGCCAAACTGCCCTGATACCCAGGCCTACCTGTCAGGTCACAAGAGGCACACTGGTATTCTAGTCAACATTCATTTAATCATCAGAGTACATTCACTTAAACCCTTCTTATGCAAACAAACTCATTCTTGTCCTGAAGGAATGCAGCACCTAGTCATACCCTTCCTGGTCCTGGTACTAATCTAGCTGATCCCAAGCCGACAACTAACATGATAGTACCTCTGGCTAGTGTAGTCACATCGCAGATATGGACAGACCTACCTATCCCCCTCCAAACACCAAGCCCTGGGGACCTGTACCAGGGTGATCCACTCATTCCCCCATCCGGTGGTACAGTCTACAGGGCCTCAAGGGATCCCTTCAGATCTCAGCCACAAAAATACCACATGAAATTGGCCAGTGGGGTCTAGTAAGAACAACTGTGGCTCCTCAGTGGAACGTAAAGGGATTCTGTAGGAGGCAAAAGACAGTGTTATATGACAGGTGGCAATAGCAGCAAAGGGACCAGTGGCCTTTATTAGTGCCCTCTATAAGACTTAAGTTCTGGAAGACCTGCCAAGTCTTCTCTGGACTTAACAAAGGAGAGGAGAATAACGACCTTTAACCTGAAAAAGGATTCATGCTGTTAAGGACTGTGTTGAGAAGCACTGCTACAGAATTAAGGTCTGTTTCCACCAGGCAGGATGCACAAGTCGTAAGGACAGGACAGGCTTGAGAGCTTCTCTCAGGGGCAAAGCCACTGGGAAGTGGCCTGCATGCCACATCTGAGGCCAAGATGTGCACTTAGGGCCTGCAATTAGCTCCTCTCAACAAAGAAACAAGAATTAAGAACTTCCAAGTGACAAAGCAAAACAAAGACAACGGGATGTGTTAGACACTTTAGGTCTTTTGTTGTTGTAACTTTTTGCTTGTTTTTTTTCTTTTGAGACAAGTTTTCCTTATGTGTCCCAGGCTGGTCTTGTATAATCAGGGCTGACTTCTACCTGGTGGTAATCTTTTCACCTCAGTCTCCCAGGTGCTGGATTACAGGCATGTGCCACCATGCTCAGTTTAGACACTTTGGAAAGAATACTGAAATCATAACAGACTTTGCTTCCCAGAAAACTCTGTCTAGTAAAGGCAGAACTTCACACATACTAACCAGAAGCAGTTATATGGGTCTGTTCTTTGCTATATAAAGTATGAACCCCCTGGCTGAATAGCAGAACACCACAGCCAAGAGCTGCTGTCATCAAAGATAAGTACCCTCTTTGTTTTCTATACATTTTTTACATTTATAAAAGATGTTTGTGTGGGTTGTGTTTTTTTTGCTTGTTAGCATTTCCTATTTTTTCACAAAAACATATGAGATATGACTGAAAACTACAGTCAATGTTTAAATTTTTGAAAATTACAGTAAAAGAATTGTCATTAAGGACCCTCAAAATATTCTCTCATTTAAAAAAAATATTATTTATTTATTTATTGTGTGTGTGTGTGTGTGTGTGGCCAGCTCAGCCCACCTGGGGGTGTGGGGCTGGCTGGCATGTGGTGCTGGGGGATCGAACCGTGGTCCCTGTGCTTTGCCAAGCTTGTTCCAAGTAGGTGCTTTAGGCCATCTCTCCAGCCCCATATTCTCTCATTTTAAGCACACTTATCCCATTATTCTTCATTTTCTGAAACAGATCTGAGGTCCTCTTTTGTGTCTTTTTTTTGAGACAGGCTGGTCTGAACTCATTATGCAATACAGGCTGGTCTCAAACTCACAGCAATCCTCTTACCTCTGCCTTCTGAGTGAGGGCATTACAGGCGTGTGCCACCACATCATCTGGCTTCTTTCCTGTCTTTAGTTGAGCTGTTCTGGCTACCTTGATGTCCTGAATTATTTAAAAATGCTTACTTTTCATGGTATTTTTGACTTTAGGAAAGAACCAGAAGTTGCACAGTGCCAGATATGGTGAATGAGGTAGGTTAAGACACACTATCATTTTTTTTTTAAGCCTGCCTTTTCATTGGATGGCATATGACAGCAGCATTCACTATACTGTTATTTATTTATTTAAATGTTTTTAGTACAGGGTCTACAGGGTCTCACTATGTAGATCAGACTTGTAGTGAATCTCCTGTTTTCAGTCTCCCAAGTGCTAGGATTACAGGCGCATGCCACCATGCCCAGTCTCAAGTGCTGTCTCAGCACACCCTGGGGGCAGGGCCGGCAAGGCATGCCAGGGATAGAACCCCGGCCTCTACGCTCTGCTTAAGCAGGTGCTTTAGTCCACTGAGCTATCTGGTCATCCAGCAAAATCACTGTATTTTTTATCATCTCTATAAAGATGTTCATAAAAGGGCTGGTGAGATGGCTCAGTGGTCTAAAGCACCTACTTAGAACAAGCTCAGCAAAGCACAGGGACCGCGGTTCAATCCCCCAGCACCACATGCCAGCCAGCCCGCCCCCTGGTGGGCTGAGCTAGCCACACACACACACACACACACACACACACACACACACACAAATAAATAAAATTAAAAAAAAAAAAAAAAGATGTTCATAAAAGAAGACTTCCAGAACTGCTTCAAAAATCGGCAAGAAACCAGGCATTGTGGCACATGTCTGTAATCCTAGCATTTGGGTGCATAGGCACGAAAATTGCAACAAGTTCAGGCCATTTTAGGCCTCATATTTAGTTCCAGGCAAGTATGAACTACATAGTGAAACCCTGTCTCAAAAATATGTAGCAAAGCTGGGTGGGCACAGCAGTGCACAAACCCTGTACACACACCCACATATATGTAGTGCTCCTCCACAGGCAAGACAAGCTCCCGCATCCTGCTCTGTGCTGCAGTAGTACCCCTCTCCTGAGGATCTGATATGGCCTCTGATTCACAGCCCACCTTCAATAACTCTAATCTAAACAAACAAACAAACACCCAAACCTCCAATTTGCAGATTCATGACTTGCTATTTAACCCTAGCACCCCTAGCAGCCTTGTAATTCTAAGGGGTCCTGTGAAGACACAGGGAACACACCTCTGGTGAGCAAGCTACATTTCAACAGTTTGGGGAGGCCTCTGTGCTGGTTCTGCTAGGCTCAGGGCACATTTTGCAGCACCATGCAGACAGCCCAGAAGCCACAGATGTGAGGACAACATTGACAGCTGGAAAACTGGGGATGTAGGCACCTCCTAGCAAGGTGACCTAAGAGGAGAGGCTTTCAAACTAAGAGAATAGCCCATAAGATATAAAATATACGAAAGATATAAAAATATACCAAGGAAGGAAAAAAGCAAATTAGAAACAATCAGGAGGAGCACCCACTTGAAAGTTAAAGAATGCTGCTGATCTTACCTGTGCACCTCTGGAGTAGGACCTAAAGATGGTACAGAACCGGCCCTGGCCCGATGTGTCCCTGAAACACACAAGGAGGGTCAGGAGGAACCACAGCCACGAGACCCTCCAGGGTGCAAATGTGGTCACTAGGCTTGCACCCTACCTTCTCTCACTCTGCAGCTCAGCCTGAACATGCTAGGGATACTGGAGGAGGGTGGCTACAGCTGGCACTGGTGGGCTGTGCCAGAAAGGTGCCAAATGCACAGATCATACCAGTCTAGCACCTTTAGATCACATGTAGGCAGGCAGCAGAGGGGATTGGCCTTCATCACTTGGTCAAGTGAGTCTCCCCACTGGGGCTAAGAGTCTGGGACACTATCTGGACTATCTCAGACTCATGGATATTCCTGTTTTGACCTTGAGGTTCTGGGCTACAGTCTTTAAGGTGAAGCCCATAAAAGGCTGTGGAGAACAGATGTAGCCACTGTGGAAAAAAGATTTTATGGGCAAAAGGGAAGGGGCTCTATCAGAATGAAAAGCTCTACACTGTTTTTCCCATCACAGAGCAAAATTCTATTTAAATAGGTTCTGTGCAAATGGTTATTGCAAGTTACAGGTGGGTTGGGCACCTTCCTGCTTCCTCACTTGTCTTGCCTGTCTCCATCTGATCACTGACTCACCAGAGCTCCAGCTTGACACGCCGGCCGTCCAGCAGAATGGTGGTTGTCTTGTAGTCAATCCCTGGAAGGAAGCATGAGGGAGGTGAGCATTAGCAACTCCTTACCCAAGTCTGCAGCAAAGCAGAGCAAAGCTTTCCCTACAGTGAACTGCTGGGAAGCAGGCTGCTCACTGTCCTAGGCTGTGGCATTCTCAAGACCCCAACCCAGCACACAGCAAACATGGGGATCATGACAGTATATCAGCTGCATGCTACCTCTGCCATTCTCTCCAGCCCCTGTCCTGGAGAGAGAGAATGCTGGGGCTCTGAGCCCAGCATTCCTAGAGGAGGACAGCTAACCTTCACTCTGACCTACTGTGTGTAGACTCTGAAGCTGAACTCTGAAGGGAGCAGGCAGTACTGAAAACATATCTTACAGGCAAAATTATTGAGCCTTTCTGAAAGTATCTGTAGCACTCAGTCACCATTCCCACTCAAGCCTTAAAAACTATCAAGATCTCACTGTTTTTTGTTGTGTTTTGTTTTTCTGGCAGTACTGCTGAATACTGAGCTACATTCCCAGTCCTTTTATGTTGACATGCGATATCACTTAGTCACTAAGTTGTCCTAGCTAGGCTCAAACTTTTGATCTTCCTGCCTCAATCTTCCTCCAGAGTACTGGGATTACAGATGAGGGCCATCATGCTCAGCTAAGATTTTGCTTTTAACTCTTGCTCCATGGGGGTTTGGAAATGGACAACTTTTAAACACAGATTCACTCTCACAGGAAGAGTATGTCACATGAAGAGTGTATTTATTTATTTTTTATTTATTTATTTATTTATTTATTTATTTATTTATTTTTTGTGTGTGGCCAGCTCAGCCCACCAGGGGCAGGGCGGGCTGGCATGTGGTGCTGGGGGATTGAACCGCGGTCTCTGTGCTTTGTTTAGCTTAGCTTGTTCTAAGTAGGTGCTTTAGACCACTGAGCCATCTCACCAGCCCCAAGAGTGTATTTATTTTTTAAACATTATAAAAGAAAAACTAGTAATGACACAGAATTTCACTAAATAGTATGAATTTGCCAGTATTTGTTGTATTACATAGTGTTATTTTCAAATTAGTTGTTCAGATTGCCAGATACATGTATGCAAAATTGGAAAGAGAAGAAAAGATATAAGAAATTAAGTAGAAAAAGAAAAAAAAGATGAAAAAAAAAAAAAAAAAAAAGACTATTAACTGCTCCTTTCCATAGACCAGCAGAAATCCACAGTACAATTATCCAGGCCATCCTGCTTTCCCCCTACTTCCTCTCATCTCACTAATTCCTTCCTTTTAAACAGGTTCATTCCCTTTTCACATCATCTATTGTATCCTTCAGATTTCACTTTTTCAGTTTCTTACACTAGGAAGACAACATGATGATTGCACACGCAGGAAGAGCGTATTTCTGCATGTGCACACATGCACACAGAATCTACCCTACAGGATGGCCACACATCCCTCCCTCAAGCATCAGTGGCTTCTTATGGGCCATCCTTCTGCCTGGCCTATTACCTGCACATCAAAATCCTTTTCTTGTACATCAAAGGACAGTATCAACAAAGTGAAAAAGGTAACCCACAAAATGGAAGAACATATTTTTTTTATTATTATTTGTGTGTGTGTGTGTGTGTGTGTGTGTGTGTGTGTGTGTGTGTGTCCAGCTCAGCCCAAAGAACATATTTTTTAATATGTATCTCATCAGGGTCTAATTTTTCACAGAACTCCTTCAACTCAACAATGACAAACAAATCTTATTAGAAATGGCCAAATACTTGAGTTGATATTTCTCCAAAGAAGATACAAATGGTAATAAGTACAAGAAACAATGCTGAGCACTGTCAACCATAAAGAAACACAAACCAAAACCCCATGCTGCCAATTCACACATAGGGGACAAGTAGATTTAGAACAAGACAGCCAATACAGTAAGGATGTGGAGAACTGGGACCAACCTACACTGCTAAGGGTTGTAAATGCCAGGTGCATAACCATGCAAGTGTCCATGGTGCCACTGAGTTGTGTACCTGAACACAGTTGAGATATTATATCCCCAACAGGGTCTATGTAGTTCAGGCTGACCTTAAACTCACTATGTAGCACATAATGATCTCAAACTCATGGCAATCAATCCTCCTGCTTCAGCCTCCCAAGTCCTGGGATTATAGGTATGTGTCATCATACCCACCAAGATATAGATCTTATGCTATGTACAGTCACATAAAAAGGGGTGTTCTGTATATACGCTCAGGGAGACAATAATCAGGCCAAGCCCCAGCTCTCCTGTGTCCTTTTTTTTTTAGCTTTCATCCACTTCTCTGGTTCCTGGATTTCTACCAAATAGGAATCTCAATGCTGGCAGCTGCAGCCTCCACAAGCATGTGAGGTCACTGGTGCAATGATTTCAATGTTCCTCCTTGAGACCAGAATTTTTTTTGAGGGGAGGGATACCGAGACTCTAACTCAGGACCTTGCCTTTGCCAAGTGCTGTGCTGCTGATCTATATCCTTCGCCTCAAGACCAGAATTACTTCTATGACGAGATCTCATAGGACAATCCTGATTGTGCTGGGGGACCCTCCCAAGTTCAAACTCCTAAGAAAGGTACTGCTCTGCTACCAAGTCACCCTTAGATGGTGCTGTGGACCCACGCCTGGCCAGGGAGCTGTACCTGCTAAGGCAGGGCACTGGATGCCTGGTAAAAGGCTAGAAAGACTACATTTGTTACCACAGATCTAGGGCATAAAGACCCATGCCTATGCCTCGGCCTATGACCACCACTAGAAGCAATATTGTCAGAGAAGCTCTGAGGCCATCCCTGCCACTGACTCAGCTGTTCAGTGTGACTACTTTTTGAAAGGCTCGCCCAGAAGACATCTGCCTTTGGGAATCTGATAGAAGACATCTGTCTTTGGGAACCCAAAACATTTATACATTTACTGCTCTCATAATGGGCACAGGACAGAGAAGCCCCTGCTCTGTGAGGGCCCTCAACTCTTCCAGAATAGAAACACTCTGCGGCACTAGGAACAATGCCCAGGCATGCAGAAGTGAGGCCACTGCTGGCAGTACACACATTCAGCTGTTCTGTGGTCTTCAGGGAACCGGGCCACATTCTGGGAGCATAGTTTGTCAAAGGTCTTGCTATTGGTAATTTATGGTTGCTGGTCACAGAATGCAACTTCAGAGGAGATCTTTTTTGTTTGTTTGTTTTTGAGATAGGATCTCTTATACAGTTCAGACTGGCTTTGGGCTCACTTTGTAGCCAAGGCTGGTCTCAAACTCTCAACAATCCTCCTCCCTCAGCCTCCTGAGTGCTAGGATTACAGGCGTGTGCCACCATGCTCAGTTTGCCTCAGTCTCTTGAGTGCTGTGATTACAGGTGTGTGCTACCATGTCTGGCTGCTTTCTGTCTCTCTCTCCTTGATTTTTTTGAGACAGAGTATTGCTACGTAGCCCAGGCTGGCTTTGAACTCACTATATACCAGGCTGGCCTTGAACTTACAGTGATCCCCTCACCTCAGTCTCCCAAGAGCTGGGAATTACAGGAAATGTGCCACCACATCTGGCCAATGTTTTGCTTTTTAAAAGATGATAGGCGAGGGGTATACCCCAATGGTAGAGTACAAGCACAACATATGTGAGGCCTTGGGTTCAATCCCTGGTACCAAAAGTAAAAATAAATGACAGCTGGGAGTTTTAATCTAAATATTTAAAATTTACATAGTATGGCATGACTATTCAGAACAGAACAAAGCTATCAGGAAATGGTCCAGTTCTATAGATGTCCAAGTACTGGCCAGGCAATCCATATAGGTGTGCATTCAGCTCTCAGACAGGAAGCAGAGGCACTAAATTAGTGGACCCAGGGCTTAAAGAGGCCACAGGGCCCAGCAGTAGGTGACTGCAGGTAGAAAAGCAGATGGCTTTGCTATCAGCCCTCCGCAGCCCTTCCCTTCTCAAAGCCTGAGAGGCCACAGGCTCTTCTCCTAACTCTGAAAAACATCTTTTTCTTGACCTTCAAAAATCCAAAATCAGTTTTCCCTAGTCCTGTCCCAGGGTGGGCCAAGCAGTGGCCAGAAGGTTCTAAGGAATTAGGTAGGATCCTCTGAGCCTCCTTCCTAGCAGGACTGGATGCTCAAACATCTCAGCACCAAGGTTTAGTGACAAGGACTCCAGTGTTTCCAATGATCATCATACAGCCCTGAGGGGCCTCTGCACCCAGCAGCCACAGGAAGCATAGTCCAGGGGAGAGGCAGACATTCAGAAGGCTAATGACAACCACATTAAAAGGCTGTGCCAGGACCACCCAAGAGGGTGCCCTTGGCCTGAACAGCTTCTAAGAGGAGCAATTATCTAAGGCTTAAGGGTATGCAGGCATGGGGGGAGGGCTGGGAAAAAGGGTGAGGGAAGCTGGAGAAGCATGGGAGCTGGAGGCAGACCAGTGACCTGGAACAAGCTTGGAGCCTGGGCACTTGGGGATGGTGGGACACAGAGAGCACAGGCTGGCAGAGTTGTCAGAGCCTGGGGAAAGACATCAGTAGTCTGAAGTCTGGACAAAACCCAGGGGAGATCCACTCGTGCTAACAAGAAGCCTACCCACTTTGCACTCTTTTCCAGGTGCCATTCATCTGTTCTTTCTTTCTAAAAATCTTTTTTTCTTTAATAAGCGGATATACTATTCAGTTTAAAAAGCAAAGGCCCAGGGCTGGGGAGATAGCCCAGTGGTCTAAGTGCCTGCCTGCCAAGTATAAATCCTGGATTCAATCCCTAGTACCACATGCTGTGCCAGCTGCAAAACTCTAGGCACCCCTATAATCCCAGCGCTGGGGCGGCTGAAAACAGGAGGATCACTACAAGACTGAGCTGCACAGCAAGACCCTGTACTAAATAAATAAATTAATATTAAAACGCAAAGGCCCGCAGCTGATAGGTGCCAAGGCCTCAGTCCCTGTTCAGCACCCCCTTCTTCCACCAGCCTTGCCCACTAGCTTGGCTCTATCCCCCACAGCCTTCTTGCTCACATGACCCTTGCAAAGCAG